TTTTTTTTTTTTTAATTATGATAGAAAAAATTTGTAGAAAGCAAAACTTGAATAAGATATTTATTAAAAAGAAGAGGTTTAAACAAAACCTCATTAGTATTTTATTTCATCAAGACCATTTCAAATGAAGGCTAATGGTTTTTTGATAAGCATAAATATAATTTAATATGAGCTGATATTATTTAAATAAGATTTGTGCATATATATATATAAGTGCACAAATTAAAAGAAAGATATGTAAGAGTAGAAATTAAAAAATATATATATTTTTTGAAGAACATGTTTAGGTCTTACCAATTTCTTTCTTTTTTTAAATTACAAAGAACATAGAGTTTCTAAGTAACTTTTAATGAGCACAACAAAATAAAATCATTTACAATTTTTTTTATTCATCAAAATGTATTTACAAAAAAAAACTACTAATAATATATGGCTACAAATTAGAACAAAACAAATAAACAAAGAGTCAAGACTATATAAAAATTAGAAAAAATACCCATATAACTTGCACAGCTAAGAACTTGAGATCACAGCTCAACCAACGTCTTTCCTTTCCCCATGAAAATATGAGTGAGCCAACACAGCTTAGCATGTCACATACACCGATCTAAATTTTCAATAACTAACCCTTTATGCATAGTAATTGATAATAAAGTATTATACTAAATAAAATATAGTTGATAGATAACTGAAATAAATAAATGGTGTATTAAAAATAAATAAATAAGTTTTTTACATATCATAGCAAAAAGGTAATAAATTTCTTTTAAACCTTATACTTCCCATTAGAAATATGCCCTTATGACTCTCTGTGATAGCATATTAAAAAATAGTCCTCATGACTCTCAATGCTTAGCACATATCAAATATTCAAAAATTCAAGCCTTTATAACCCCCTATTCATTTAGCAACACAACTTTCACCACACATTAGATTTCCTTAAAATAACACATTCAAACAAATAATCATATATATCATTGCACTGCAATAAAATAAATATAAATAAATAAATTTAAAAGTTCATATAATGCTTTATCAGTAAGCAACAAAATTAACTATAGAGCAAAATTTCACTCACTGTTTTAGAATATCACTAGATTATCAAGAATTATTCATAATATTATTTTGAAGCGTTAATTGTACTATTATCTTCATAAAATAGGAAATTTTCAAAGCGCAACCCAACGACCAAAGAAAACTCAATAACTCTCTAAATATTATATTCTTCTATCTAATTTTAAGCATAATAAATTACTTCTTTGTTCTCAATATCATCAACTATGATCAATAATAATTACTGAATTAGGAAGATAGAGAACTATAGTTTAAGAATTTCGAAGAACTAACTAAAGTGAGGTCTCTTGAACTCGACAATAAGATCATTAGCCTCAAATTATCTTAACATTTTTACCATCACAGTCTAAGTACTATAATACTTCTCTTTTGATATTATTGTGTTAGACACATACAAAGTTGAATAACTCAAATGAGCAAAATCATGATCAAATAGAATTGAAATTGAATCATCTTTAAACAATCTTCAAACTATAATCAAACTTTGATGGAACCATACAACAACAACAAGCCTTTGTCCTACTACGTGCGATCGGCTACATGAATCCTTTTTCGCCATTAAGTCCGATTAAAAGTCAAATTCTCATTTAAATCTAATAAAGAAAGATTATTTCTAATATTTTCTAACCAAATCTTTTTAAGTCTAACTCTATCTTTTTCTTAACATAAGTCAAATCTAATACTTCAACTTTCCTAACCGGGTCATTAGAAAGACCTCCGTTTAATGTGACCAAACCATCTAAGGCGACTCTCTCTAATCTAATTTTGATGGAACCATGATGGTGTAATATTCAAATAATTTTCAAACTATTATTATACCATGATCAAATAATCTTTGATCATAATTCAAAAAACTTTCAAACCATAATCAACTTATGATAGAATGATGATCAAAATCTCTTCAAACATCTTCAATTATGGATCAATTGTAGGCAAAGATTATTTATGGAAGGATCAACAATATTTTCAGAGTACAATTATAGATTGAGGATTTTTCGACTAAAACACAAACATTATATAACCATAATTCGAAAGTTATTCGACCATAACTTCAAGATTATTTGACCATAATTCAAAATTTAAGGTGATTCTAGTAAGTTCTTGAATATGATGTTTGAAAGGTATTATGGGTTTATGATTTTGAATGCAAATAGCATATTAAATCATAAATAACCAACAAATAAAATCATTGTAACATTTTCGGATGATAAAAACATAGAAATCATAACCATGAAATTTCACAACCACCCAAACACTCATGCTCTACAATCAACAAAAATGGAAAAAGTAATAGGAAAAAGGATCAAAATGCTCATATAAGTTTCGTTTGGGATGACTTTCTTACTGCTTCTTAAAACAACTTTTTAATACAAAAATCATTAGAAAGATGTTTTAAGAAGCAGTAAGAAAACCGTCCCAAACGAAGCCATAATTGAAAGGTCATGCAAGGGTTCTAACTCTATTTGTTAAGAAGCGGAGATACTTTGACCCAAAACAATTTTCAGGCTTATTTCCCAAAGAAATTAAACAACGAGCATATTCTTCCATTACTACTATTATGAAGCATATAAAATCAAATTTTCATGCACATTCTATATATCTACTAATATTTACAATATTTTTAAAATTTCTAATTCAACTCATCTCATGCCTATTTTTAAAAAAAAATTTCCACCACATGACACTAGATTTTGGGATTTTAACAACCAATTTGCCAAGCAACATTATGACCCTTCCTGAAATTCTTCTAATAAATTATCATACCTTTTCCCAATACAGAATTCTGAAGTACAATTCCCCTTCATATGTTCAAGCACTGCTTGTTCTATTAATCCATGTCTGCCTCCAGTGCAAGCATTCTGATAGAGAAAATAGTTAAAAATCCTTGAATTTCCACTTGCATGAATCAAGCAAAATGTTGGCATCCCTCTTCAAGCTGCTTGCTATGTTTGCATCATACAGTTGAAGCTGCTCTCTTACCCAAGGAGGGTCATCTGGACTAAGCCACAAACATTCCTTGGTATCCTTGTGTTTGAAGTCTGGAAAGCTAGGGTTTTTCTTAGACCTCCTGTTGTCCCACCACTCACTGGGGCTAGCAAAGAACAGCTGCCAAAGATGTAGCCTTTCTAAATTCTGCTTTTCAGGTATTGTGCCTATGATAAAAGCAAAAGAACACAGTGTTGTCGAGGAATCGGTATCGTGTATTTTGCGGTTGGATTAAGAAGATGTACTCACCAGATTCACCTGCCATTTCCTCCTTCAGTGAAGAACCTGCAATGGACCAACTTCAAAGGTCAAAATTGTTGCGGAGTTGCATAATACAAATACAACAACAACATCAAGCCTTTATCTCACTACTTGGGGTCGGCTACATGAATCCTTTTTTGCCATTGTCTTGTTAAAAGTCAAATTCTCATTTAAATCTAATAAAATTAAGTCTTTGTCCCACTACGTGCGGTCGGCTACATGAATCCTTTTTCACCATTGTGTCCTGTTAAAAGTCAAATTCTTATTTAAATCTAATAAAGAAAAATCATTTCTAATATTTTTTAAACAATTCTTTTTAGGTCTATCTCTGCCTTTCTTAACATAAGACAAATCTAAAGCCTCAATCTTCCTAACCGGGTCATCAGAAGGCCTCCGTTTAATGTGACCAAACCATCTAAGGCGACTTCTCTCTAATCTTATATTCTGTTGGAGCTACTCCAACCTTTCACGTATATGCTCATTTCGTATCCTATCTCTAAGGGTAAAGTCACTCATCCACCTAAGCATCCTCATCTCTGCAACACTTAGCTTAGTAAAAAGAAAAAAAAGATAGTGGACAACATAATCACCAGATAGGGAAGATGGTAATTTCCCTGCGTCCGGTTCTACCGGCATTGATGTTGTGCAATGCTGTTCGAGTCGTCTCACAAAATTTAAATCTTGCACAAAAACCTGTAAAAAGAGTGTTGAACGAATCCATTAGATGACATAGCAAAATAAAGTTAGTAGTATTTGTGAATTGACAATCTGCCAAATGACTTCCTTCCTTTACTCTCAGAAGAAATGAATATAAGATCCTTGATTTTCACAAGAAAAAATGATCAAACAAACCGAAAATGGAAGAAAATTAGAACAACGAGAAATTGAGAATTGAAAAAAATGTGCAGTGGAGGTTTACAACTCTAACCTTGTAAATGATTTCAGACCGACCACTTGCATTGATCCTTTCATATGAGCCTAAAGGACCAGAAACGTAAATGAAATCATTCTGTTTCAAATGCTGCAGTGATATTTCTGCCAGCTTACCCTGCATCCGAAGGCAAACACTGCTAAAATGTTAGCAACTACAAGCAAAGATATTATCTAAAATGCCTCGACAAATGACCCACCATAAATGTGTCAGCAATAAACAAATGAAGGCAAATCAGGACCACTTCATGGTAAAGGATGCCAGTGAAAGTTAAATGAAGAATTAAGTTAAAAGATTAAAGATTGATCAAAACAAAATAACAACAGTAAAATGTTAGTAACTGAAGCAAAAATTAACAAATTAAGTAGATAAAAAAGATAAAAAATTCAAAGTTGTACAACTTCAGAGGCAGAAAGGTATATATTTGATAAATTTCCAATAGAAACAGGAAATAGATTATACAAGAAGGAAGTATTGATTGAGTAAACAAATGCAAGAGTTCGACATGAAAAAATCCTAAGTATTGAGTTCAGGAGGGACCAGATTATCAGCACTACAAGTTGAAAAGTACAATATGAGCATGGGTCGATTAATAGGGTCATAAATGTCTATTGAAACTTCATTTTCCTGTCAGTGCTAAATTTACGCTACATCTAACACCTAATCACCTATCAGAAGGCCGACGTTTTATGTCACCAAATCATCTAAAGGCAATTATCTCTAATCTTATCTGCCACTGGAACTAGTCCAACCTTACTCATTTCACATTCTATCTCTAAGTGTAAAGACACTCATCCACTTGAGCATCCTTATCTCTGTAATACTTAACTTAATTTTATGCTTCTCTTTTAATGATCAACATTATGTGCTATAAAATATTGCAAGTCTTACTATCTTATAAAATTTTTGCTTAAGTTTGACCATACTCGATATTTACTATATACTCAATATTTACAGCTAACATTGAAATGTCTGGTCAAAGTGTTCTCCAAGCTTGGATCTAAAGCTGAAACATAAATTAGCAAATTACTACTCTAAGAAATCCTGAGGACTTCACAAGTATTGCAAAAGAAACATGTTAAATTCAGAGAATTGAAGAGGGAAAAGGCTTAATTTTATTATATAAAATTATCCCTATTTATATATCTATATATGATATCTTAATAAAGAAAAAAAATAATTACAAAATCATGTATAATTGCCCTAATATAATCCTTCCTAAATCAGCCACCTAAATACGGAAGGAAATCGGCATAATCTAGGTGAGACTCCTATGGATTCTCATCCTAACCGTGGGATCAAATGTCAAGGGATGGCTGGGTTTAACAGAGATAGGTGTGATCCAAGTAAGCCTCCCACAAATTCCCATCCTGGCTGTGGGATCAAGTGTCAAGGAACAATTGAGATTTTAACACTCCCCCTCAAGCTGAGGAATACAAATTTGTCATTCCCAACTTGGTAATTAGTCCCAAAAAGTAAAGTTATCAAGTCCCTTGGTGCATTATAAAGTCCTTCATTTGGTAAATTTTTTTAGAGGAATTAGCTTCAAACATTGTTGCGACAAAGGATAGTGATGAAGGCTATCTCAATAGCCTGCAAGATACAAGGCAGCAATGAAGGTTGTGTTGAACAGTAACCCTCAAGATGCTGAAAACGACAATAAAGGCTGGTGGTGGGACAACAGGTAAAGTGGATTAATTATCCTTCGGGTCCGTCTCCCTCTCGGTTCAAGGGAATGCTGACAATGAAGGCACGACAGTAAAAATTTTATAAAATTTATTTTTAAGGTTGCAGCAAGCATAAAGGATAGGAGTAGAAACATGCATCTCAAACAACTCAACACTCAACACGCATATCTCTTCCTTCCCAAGTCATTGGCTCCACCTGAACATACTCTTGTTCAATCGTCCAGTACAGGTGCAAACAAAGCCTCTGATCCCTCTAGTCTGATCATAGGAGGGAGTCTAAGTCTTGCACTCTTGTTTGTTCCTGCCCCCGCATGAGAGGAAACTCTCGGCTCTTTTCAGACACACATAGGAGGAGGTTTCGGTCGACTTTAGATGTCTCACGCAAGAGGAGCCCTCCCACTCGATCTCTCCTCGATCTTGAATGCACGAAGCTTTGATACCATGTTAATTTTAGAGAACTGATAGGGAAAAGACTTAATTTTATTATACAAAATTATCCTTATTTATATATCTATATTTGAAATATTAATAAATAAACAAATAATTGTAGAATCATGCATAATTGCCCTAATATTATCCATCCTAAATCAGCCACCTAAATATGTAAGGAGATCGGCGTGAACTAAGTGAGCCTCCCACAGATTCTCATCATAATAGTGGAATCAAGTGTCAAGGGACGGCTGGAATATAACAGAGATAGGCATGATCCAAGTAAGCATCCCACGGATTCCCATCCTGGCTGTGGGATCAAGTATTAAGGGACGACTGAGATTTTAACACTCCCCCTCAAGCTGAGGAATACAGATCTGTCATTCTCAACTTGGTAATTAGTCCAAAAAAAAATAAAGTTATCAAATCCCATGGCGCATCATAAAATCCTTTATTTGGTAAAATTTTTTATAGTAATTAGCTTCAAACATTATTGTGACAAAGGATAGCGATGAAGGCTATCTCAATAACCTGCAATGTGCAAGGCAACAATGAAGGCTGCATTGAACAGTAGCCCTCAAGATACTGGAAACGACAATAAAGGCTGGTGGCGGAACAACATGTATAGTGGATTAATTATCCTTCGGGTCCGTCTCCCACTCAATTCTCAAGGGAAGGCCGACAATAATGAAGGCACGACAGTAAAAAAAGAAAAAATTTATTTTTAGGGTTGCGGCAAGTTTCAAGGACAGGAGAAGAAGCACACATATCAAGCGACTCAACACTGAACATGCAGATCTCTTTCTACCCAGGTTGTCCACCTGAACATACTCTTGTTCGATCGGCCCGTTCAAGTGCACACAAGGCCTTTGATCCCTCTTGTCTGATCGTAGGAAGGAGTGCAGGTCTTGCACTCTTGCTTGTTCCTGCCCCCACATGAGATAAAACTCTCGGCTCTTTTCAGACACATTTTGGAGGAGGTCTCGATTGACTCTGGACGTCTCATGCAAGAGGAGCCCTCCCACTCGATCTCTCCTCGATCTTGAATGCATGAAGCTCTGATAGCATGTTAAATTCAAAGAATAGGAGAGGAAATAGGCTTAATTTTATCATACAAAATTATCCCTATTTATAGATCTATATATGATATCTTACTAAAGAAAAAAATAGTTATAGAATCAAGCATAATTGCACTAATATAATCCATCCTAAATCAGCCAACTAAATATGGAAGGAGATCAGCGTGATCTAGGTGAGCCTCCCATGGATTCTCATCCTGACCGTGGGATCAAGTGTCAAAGGACGGTTGAGATTTAACAGAGATCGGCATGATCCAGGTGAGCCTCCCACGAATTCTCACCCTGACTGTGGGATCAAGTGTCAAGGGACTATTGAGATTTTAACAAAACACACTATAATTCATTGATAATAGGTAGCTAATGAAGAATTAGTTTAGAATAGAGAAAAATAAATAAATTGGTCCTCTGACTTTTTCTAAAGGACCAAAATAGTCATCACCTATATTAAAAAACCAATTAGATCCCTTAATCTTTTAAATAGGGATAAAATTAGTCCTTATGTAAGATCATTTAAGCCCCAATTTAAAAAATCAATGGATTAAAGTGAGACTTTGAAATAGTCGGGGACCATTTTGATCCTTCATAAAGAGTAGGAAAATTGTTTTAATTTTCTTCTCATTTAGAATACTATACATTTATCCTCATAATTTAGGAGCATGGGAAACATTAATGAAAACAACATAAAAAGAATCTACCTTGAAAGCCCAATAAAAAGCGATAAAATGTAAAAGAAGATATCAAAGAACTTAGTAATGAGGTAAAATGAGGAAATTAAATTTTAAAAAAATTTGAAATCCATTAGCAATGTAGTGCTAGGCATTATGAAGGTAGCATGAGAAGCATCATGATAGCAATGTAATGCTCGACATTATAAAGGTAAAGGATGCCACTTGCTTGCTCTCTTACCAGATCTTCTTCTACAGCATTCTCGCTGTCACAATCCTTCTTTTCTTTGCATTCATTATCAGCAGCAACTAGGCCGTTATTGATTCTTTATTGCACATTTACTCGTAGATTTATATGGTGTTTTTTTTCATATATGTTTTAGCTTAATAACACCTCTTATGCTACCTAATATTTGTTTCAATCCAATATCCTAAAATAGACAGTTAAATAGTATGTCCAGATTAAGACATGTTTAACAATTGTCATACCAATCAGTTTTAGAGAAATAATAGTTTCTTTGGATTTACCAAGTTCATTAAATCCTATTTAACTTAAAGTCAAACAAGCCTTTAGCTTTAGATGAAAATTATGATAAAATATTAATAGTTTGGTCATAGCATTATGAAAAGGATATGAATTAAAATAGAGTAAATATTTAAATAGATGACACAAATTTGTAAAAATCATTTCTATAAATTTCGACCTCATGAAAAAGGACACCAGTTTCAATATCAATATGTTAGCTCAAAACTTATATTTCTTTATAAACAAATAGAACTGGGTTTCAAATAAAAACAAAAAAATTAATTTGAATTATAATTACCTCAATATTGTTCCACCCTATCATACATTATATCTAATACTTAATACAGAAGATTCTGTCTCCCTCCGAATGAGGAATACCACAATTCCCTCTTCACCCAAATTTCTCAGATAGAATATCAAATGTACAGTTCTTAAACGGCTAACTAATGACAATCATATTTTGTCGATATCTAAATTCTCAAAATTCTCAAAACAAATGGGTTTGATGGCTTCCTCATTGGGTTCATTGCTTGTCCAGACAAAAAACACCATGAATGATGCTAGCTTTCACCATCCCACCTCTATTTAGTAACTCATTGATCAAAATTTTGCTCCTATCCAGCATTACAACCACCATACTCCCACATGCTCTCAACCTTGATGCTTGTTTTCACATTAGGACAGCCACTAAAAAAACATCTGAAATGAACTCAAGTCTTATAATTGAAAAATGAACTCTATCATAACTCCATGAATAATCAATCAATAAAAAAATATATATATAATTGAAGTTATGGTTAACAACATCGCAGTAGTAGGGTTTAACATTGATCAAGAATACATCATACTTTATATTATTGATGGCCTACCATTAGCATATTAATCTTTTAAAATTGTTATTCACATTGAACTAATATCTATTAGACTTTATAACCTCTACTCACTTTTATGTAGTGAGGAAATCAACATTGCTAACGAGCATACCAAAGAATCCACATCCCCTAACCCTCACATTGCCCTCATTGCATCTTCTGGAATGAGCAACTCCTCATTAGCATGTAGACAAGGTTTTGAATCCTTGAACCATATCAAACAAGATAGTTATTATCTTACCCAAAATAGCAGAGTTAGGTCCTTTTCTAGCTCCATTTTCTGACAGATCAGTGAAAAATCTGATTACTCTACACCAATGTATAAGCATTAAACAAACCTCAGGTCCTCAACTACTCATCAACACCACCACCACAAGCTTTAGTTGCCACACCTAGAACTTCTTCCACAGGCTTATTGATTTTGTTGTGACCACCGATCTCATTTTTTATCCAGACAAGATCCAACTTTCCACTCTAGATAGAGACTCAAAACAGTTCTTGTGCATAACAGACAATCCCTTCCTATCTCAAATACTGGATAAGGCATCTTATTCACACCATATCGTAAGTTCTCTCTCCCTAAGCTACTTCAAGTATTGCATCTTTCCCGTATATTTCTTTTAGTCCACTTGCTCATCATTGACAATTTTGTTATCATATCCTTTGATGCTTGCAGCTATTTTACTAAGGATCTAAGGATAAACAAAACCATCCTCCGAGGTCACTGTCATAACAAATTGTACCACTTTCTCTATCCAACCACAAATCCTCTATTCATGCTCTACTATCCATCCTCATATCTGCAATTGTTTGGCACAAGAGACCCGGCCACCCCAGTGATGAAACTCTATCAACTATATTTTAATAGCACAAATCTCTCAACATCTCTCCTAAATCATTATTTTGTATTACTTGTAATTTTTCTAAATCCATCATTAATGTATTTTCTGTGCCTACCAATCACCTATACAACCACTGAAACTTACACATGTAGATGCATGGGTCCTCAGTAATCTCCCTTCAATGTTATAAACACTATATGTCCTTTACTGATGAATGCTCATCGTACCGGAAATACCTCAGAAATTCATTCACTACAAATTTATAGTTGAGACTCCATTAAACAAAATAACTACGGCAAAAACAGGAGCCTGTAGAACTGCCACGTGATTAACGAATCTCACCAGAAACACGATGAGTTCTGCAAACGCGGATCGCTCCTCACCTTTAGAAAGGCGAAAGCCCGCATACCGTGGCTGCACTCGCCCGAGCTTCGCACGCGGCTAACTATCGTTCCAATGAAACTGCAAACATTATAGCGCAGCTTCCGAGGTGCCGCAATTGAAGGTGGACGGAGCATCGAACGGCGGTAGGCGATGCTTTCGGGTACTATACTTCCGCTACTGAAGGAAGAGAAGAAGCTGACGAAAGGACCGGAAGAGAAGTTGTCGAAGAAACTTTGGGAAATGGCGCAGGAGGAGAGGAATCGAGATAGGGACCTCATGGAGACGGGAAGCAGCTAGGGTTTTGGTCACCGACGGCAGGTCGAGAAGACGACCGCTCCAAGAGGTGTCGAGTCACGAAGGAAACGAAGGAGCTTAGGACCTAAGTTTCGGGTTCGATGTGGGTGATGGGCGGGTCACGGTTGGTTTTCCGGGCCCAAATTGGCTGAATGCTTTGGATATATGAGGAGCTTAAACTTTGAAACATGGTTTAAAATTGCGCAATATGAGGCTCGCCTTGAGGCCCGCTTTTGCGCAATTCTAGTAAAAAACGTCTCGATGCTTACGCCTCGAGTTTTTGTTATGAGGCTTGCGCCTCAACTTGGTTGAGACCCGCCTTAAGGCTTTATGTTTACACAATCTTTTGATTTTGAGGCTTACGCCTCAAAACGCCTTGAGGCTTACGCCTCGCCTCACGAATGAAAAACACCTCAATACCCGAATACACAATTTTAAACATTGCTTTGAAATTGATCACTAAATTGATCATTTAGATTTTAAATTGAATTATAAATTATTTAAAGTAAAATATATTAATTTTATAAATTATTTTTATTTATTATTTAATATTATTAATTATCATTATCAAAATATTTAAAATTTATTTGTAAAAAATATATCAAATTTTGTATGTTGTGTAATTAGAAAATTTGATTTAGAATTCATTTGTGATATTTTTTTACTGCTTTATGAAGTAGTTTCTTAGTACAATTTTTTTTTTAATTTGTACTAAAAAATTACTACATAAAACAGTACGAAAGATATCCCAAATGAAGCATTAATACACATCATAATTCATATTGTTTATCGGCCAATATCTACTTGTATTTATGCCAAATAGGCTGGAAAGCGACTTTGGACATGAAAACACAAAGGGACAAACAGCCTTCAAAATAGATTGGTTTGGGACGATTTTCTTACTGCTTCTTAAAATAGCTTTTCAGTACAAAAATTACTAGAAAACTATTTTAAGAAGTTATAAGAAAATCTTCTCATATGAAGCCTTAGTGTGAAGATAAGCCATAGCTATCAAAAAATGAAAGCATTGAGAAAATTGCTTTAAGAAGTAGTAAGAAAGCCATCCCAAATAAAACCTAAATTTTAGATTTTATAGAGTTTGTGTTTTCACTAATAAAATTATGAACAATACTTTCTTTGAAATGATTTGGAGAAGATGCAAATCTTGATTTTATAATATTTCACAAAAATATTGAAAGAAAAAAAAACACCACCTTAAAATTTTATAATAATCTTACAAAATATTTAAGTTTCGTCTGGGGCTGCTTTCTTACTTTTTCTTATAGTAACTTTTTAGTACAATTTTTGTACTAAAAATTTACTTTAAAAAGCAATAAAAAAAACCGTCTCAAACTAAGCCTTAGAGAAAGAATCTCCAAATGATTTGCAAAGAATACTTAGTTATTCTCCCAAAGAAATATGCTGCTTGAATTCCTTGCCAAGAGAAAATACATAGAAACGAAGCCTGTTACTATGATTTTTATTTTCAATCCTTTACAGCCTAATATGGAAATAAACTAGCCGTTGAGACAGATTCTGAAATGTTTGAATACAACAGGAACAGGAAAGCTTAGAAATTTTCATACTGAATGTTCTAGTGAACAATAATTTCATCACATATGCAAAGAAATGACTGATTTTACATTCGAAACCTAGGACTGCAAACGATCCGAGCCGAGCAGAGTATGTGAATATTCATGTTTAAGTTCATTTATTATCATCTTGTTCAAGTTCGGTTCATGCTTTATTCGAGCTTTATTATTTGTATTCATGTTTGATTTGTTTATATTAATCGGTGTTCATTTTTTATTTATGTTCAGTTTGTTGAATGATTATCGAGCTTTAAACAAACAAGCCTTAACAAGCGATATTCATGAATATATTTAGCAAATTTTTTAAACTATCAAACAAACACGTTTATGAACAAACCGAACTGAACATAAAAATAATTATAATTAAATAATATATAATATCTATTTAATAAATATGTTAAATTTATTTCATTTAGCATTTATCATAATATTTAATTACTTTAAAATTTATTAATTAAAAATAATTATATCATTATGGTATAATAAATTTAAAATATTTGTATTATGTATGTTTATCAATTTTAAAATTAAATGTTAATAGAGTTTTTATCGAGCTTATTCAAGAGTTTTAAATAAAAAATGAATCAAACTTTATAGAACTTCTTATCTAGCTTAATGTCAAGGTCGTTCACCAGCTTTAAATGATGTTGTTTGTGAACACAAATGAGTCGAACACATTAGTATTCAAACTTGTTTATTTAAGGATCGAGTATTTAAAATATTGTTCATGTTTATTTGTTTAGTTAATTAAACGATCACAAACAAGTTTTAATCGAACCGAGCAACGAGTAGTTAGTCTAACGCTTGGTTCACTTGCAGCCCTATCGAAACCATTTAAATCTTAGGCTTCGTTTGTGACAGTTTTCTTAGTGCTTTCTAAAGTAGCATTTTAGTAGAAATTTTTATTAAACTAAAAATTTTTATATTAAAAACTATTTTTTAAAGGCAAATAAAAGCTATCCTAAATAAAATTTTAGTAAGAAAGCAATAATAGATTGTGTAAGAAGTTTTAGATATTACAAAGAGCCAACCACATGACTATAATATTATGGATTATCATATGGAATGATAACAATACATTATCTTTAACTGAAATTTTGGTTCCTATAGAGGAAAAAATTGGCTCGCAACCATCAATGTTAGGTCATTTTAATAAGTTCACATATATTTGGTCTGTGTAAGATGTAATCTGGTTCAGGCAAGTTTCATTTGAATGCTAAGAAAATATAATATATCTCCTGTACATTACATGTTGAAAATTGTATATAAATCTATGAGTAAATGTTAAATTGTCTTCTCATTATATCCGACTGATAGGATATTATCCACATAAATCAAAATATAAATCGGCGTGTTCCTATGATGATAAATTAAGGCTTCGTTTGGGATGGCTTTCTTGTTGCTTCTTAAAACAGATTTTTAATACAAAAGTTTAAATTTTTGTACTCGAATGCTGCTTTAAGAAGCAGTAAAATAGACGTCCCAAACGAAGCCTAAGTTATAAATCACTTGAAGTTTATATACTCATCTAAGCTTCTCTTTCTTCTTTAGTCATATAAGTGTCCTTAGAAGGAGGTTAAATTTTCCACCTAACTAAGAATCAAGTTGATGTGTCCATTGGCAGGGAAAGTTTCTCTAAAATGATGTCTTTAATATTCAAGAATAGTGGGGTATGTGGAACATACAAAATTGGACTTTTGTCTCCTATGATAGGGTTATCTTGCAATTATTGAGGCTTAATTTCATAATAAGGTAGTATATCCTCAACATTAAAAAGAGGACTGTATATTTTAGAAGGCATTTTAAGGTTGATTCGTATTCTTACCAATTTTGAAGGGCCATAAGACCTAGCATGAAGCTTCCTATATTTAGTGGGATGACCCTTTGGAGAATTACAATTAAGGCATGATCTATTTTGTTATATTTTTAAGAAAAAATATTTAAAATCTACTACACTTGTATATTTATTATTGAATTTATTGCTTTACTTATTCATGTAGATCATGAAAATTTATGCAAAAGTGAATGAAGCATATGAAATGAATATTGGTGAATATTTGCAATATTAATTGGTTTCATTTTGTTATAACCATAAAAAACTTTAAAAAGCTTTTCTTTATTTCATTATAAAAACATTAATATTATATACAAACTAAGAAGTAGGGAGATGCAAGTCCTAAGTGTCTAAATTCTTACCTGCTAAACACCTTAGAAAGTTGCCCAAGGATCTATTAACAACTTTTATTTGACTATCTATTTGATAGTGAAATACAAATGAAAATTTTAATTGATGATAACCTATGTAGTATAACAATTTCTATAAGAAAAATTTTAGTTATGTAGGATGCATCCTTATAAGTTATGAGCATGGCAAGAAATGTACCATATTGGAGAACCTATCAATAACTTTTAAAATACTATCATGTTCATGAGATGTTTTTGGAAAATCCAAAAATAAAATCCTTGAAAATATCCTACCAATTAATTAGGTTAATAAGGGAAGAGGAAGAGTAGCGTGCATGCCAACTTTTTGTTTAGTTATTTTGATTGTTTATAAGTGATATAATAAACATTAATGTATTCAATATCTATTCTTTGGGAGGGCTAAAGAAACCTTTATTCTAACCTTTATCTACTAGCTTAATAGTTTTATTCTCGCCAACGTGTCCCACCATACCACCAAAATAAAGTTTAATTATCAGAAAATCTTGAAGATATGATATAGGAATATATTGCTTATTGTTTCAATAAAAAGTCATGAAAAACAAAAAAGGCTAGTTGAAGAAAAAGATTTATCTAGGTAGTCATGTAAAGAAGATGAAAATCAAGGTAAGCAAAATAGTCATCTATAATTCTTAAAAAGTAAGGAATTTGTTATTCTAAAGAGGAGATGACTAAAGTAACTCACAATAAGACCACAGTAGCTTTATTCTCTATACATAATTAGTATTTTAAAATGAAAAATAGTCTCAGAGAAATTCTACCCACTTTACCCTCTATGATTAAATTTATTTGAGTTTTGAAAAATATAGGGGCATAATGTTCAAATTATAAGATAGATTCATTATGTATTAGGTAGTGTCACTAGTGTTTAATGGATATGATAACAGCATAAAATTCTCTCATATAAGTGTAGTAGCATTATTTGCCTCATTTAATTTGTCACTAAAGTAAGAAACAAGATTATTGTCTTGACTAAAAATTCCAATAATGCCGATCTTAAGGGAATTACAAGATACTTCAAAGGGCTTCGCAAAATTAGGTAATTTTAGGAAAGGAAAACATGTCATGTAGACTTTAATCTAATTAAAGGTTTTATAGTGTTGCTTCTTGTGTGGGCTTTATATCACTATTATGATCAAATTGGTGGATAGGAGTGTGACATCCCTTAAGTAAAAAGAAACTAAACTCTTAAACATTGAGATACCTTTTGATTTAATGGTTAGAATTTCATTAAGAAACTCCACATTTAAGTGTGCTCGTCTTGGAAAAATCTTAGGATGGATAACCTCATAGGAAGTTACACCAGCATGAAAAAATTATGAGGCCCTTAGG